CATAATATGTACTTAGTGTAAGCAGTCGCTGCACAAATAAAGATGACAACAGAGACGGAAGTTCACGGCATTAGTTACTTTACAAGTCACTTTCTCCAGTTTTGCCAGTTTTGGAAACTGAGGCTCAGAAAAGGCAAAGGTGCAGGTAAGGGTGTGTGTGTGTGTGTGTGTGTGTGTGTGTGTGTGTGTGTGTGTGTGTGTGTGGTAGGTGCCCAGTACGTCAGCAGAGAACAGCCTTGTCTGAGGTCATTCCCTGTTCCCAGGCACCCAGTGACTTATCCCTACAGGGTCTAATGATCCAAACTAATGGCCTCGGCTGTAAGCTGATGGAGAAGAAAGAAGTACAGTTGAGGCCCCAGGGAAGAATGTTTTAGACACTTTAATACACTGAACTGTGCTCTCCCCTCCTCCTCCTCCCCATTCTTACATCCTAGTACTTTAGGATGCAATTGTATTTGGAGACACGGTCTTTAAAGAGGCAATTAAGTTAAAATGAGGTAATATGGGAGACCCTTAATCCATACCAAGATGTCTTTGAAAAGCAGATCAGACACAGGCATACTCTGAGTGAAGACCTATGAGACCACAGGGAGCAGATGGCCTTCTGTAAGCCAAGGGACAAGCACCCCACAGAAACCAATTCTACTAACAGTTTGATCTTGGACTCCACCCTCCAGAACTGTTGAGAAGATAGATTTCTGTTGTTGCAGCCACCTGTAGTACTCTGTGGTATATTAATTGTGTGTATTAATAATGCAGTTGTGTTAGCCCATCCAATGCTTGCATGAACTACAAGGTAAATATTATAATGTCCTTTTTTTACAGATGAGGAAGCAGGCTCAAAGTGGAGAAGTGACTTGTCTAGGGTTGTACAATTCAGGTTTGTGTGGGAAGATGGGGGATTTCCTAGAAGTGACCTAGACACTTCGACATCTGTCCCCATTATTGGGCAAGTGTCATATGAATATTAAGGACTACGGGAATCTACATGGTTTGAGTGATCCTTTTGAAAAGATAATGGTTTCCAACATTTGGGTCTTACGGACCTTTAATGCTCTTTTAAAAATTAATGAGAGCAAAACAAATGAGATAAAAGCAGAATTTTGTTTATATGAGTTTATCTTCTGAAGCTACCATATTAGAAATGAAAACAGAGACTTTCAAAAATCATTCCTTTAGTTAGCAAAACAATGCAGTTACCTCCAGTGTGGGTATTAGTGAATATCATCATCCCATTTTATAGGTGAGAAATCAAGATCAGTGATGCAAGGCAGTCCTAGGTCTCATGAAGCCAGGACTGGACCGTAGCAGCTTGACTCCAGAGCTCAAGCAGTGAACTACTTTTTATGCTGTTTGGATACTGTCTTAGTTACTTTTCACATTGCTGTGCTAAAGTACCCTGACCAAAGGAAGAAAGGGTTTATTTTGGCTCGTAGTGTGAGGGCATAGTTCATCGTGATGCAGAAATCAAGGTGTCAGGACTTGAAGCAGGTGATCACGTTGCCTCAGCCAGAAGTCAGGATAACGGAGAACAATGGATGCTGGGGCTCAGCCAGTTCCCTCCTTTTTCTGCAGTCTAGGACCCATGCCTAGGGAATGATGCTTCTCTCTTTTAGGGTGGGTCTTCTCATATCAGTGTACCTGATCAGGCATGCCCAGAGGCTAACCTAGGCTAACTGATCCCCCACAGGTTTGTATCCTGCCAGATTCTAAATCTCGGCAAGTTAACAATAAGCACTACCTGTCACTGACATGGTGCATAACTTTCCTACCAGGGTGTGGCCATTGGACATTTTTCCAGCAGGCTCGGGCTACCTTTCTGGAGCAAGGACAGGGTATAAAGAGTTAACCTTTCTCAAGATAAAACTTGAAATTGAGAGAAGATTTCTTTCCCTTGAGGCACACCAGGCATCCCACACCCAGGCAAGGGTGAGAAGTCTGCTCCTACAGCACAAGCCTTCCACGAGTTATTTATTGAAGTGTTGTGGCACCCTTGCCACATCCCAGAGCCTCTGGATAGAGGCTCCTCTGCAGTCTGTGATTACCCAGAAAGACCAGAAAGAAACGAGTTCTTTAAGAGTCTGAGGTAGGATAAAGCATGGCTGAAATATGCCCTCCCATGAAAACCTTGCCCAATCCACATTTGTCTTTCCTAGCTCATTTTCCCTCTGTGAATATTTGCCTATAACCTCCTGTGTTCCATCAGAACAATGTTTAAGCTTCACAGCAACTTTGTGCAACTGGTCATTTTCAAATTCAATCTATCAACACTTACTAAGCACTGACAGTGTGCCTAGCAATTAACTGGATACCTGGAGCATGGTGCAGAGACGAAGATGGATAAGGACCTGTCTTTTGGAAAATTCATGACCATATGGAAAAGACAGATGAGGAGAGAGGCAATCATGGGCAGTGCAGGATAAAGAGTAGTACAGGGGATGAGGTCTAGGCAAGCACAGACTAGGAGCTCAATAAATATTTGCCGTCATTAGGCTGAGACGACCTCATGATGAGAGCTCTAGGCTAGATTCCAAGGTGTTACCATATTATGTTTTTGAAAGAAGGATAACGGCTGTGGTCAGCTCCTCATGGTCATCAGGGATCTGAGCAAGTCTGTCCAGTAGTTCTGACATCTTTTAGGATCTTGAGTTCTTTCCTAGTTCTTCTGTGTCCCACCCCACCAAAAGAGAGAAGGAAAGGCAGGGCATGGAAAGACATGGAACATATTTTAGGGCTGCTAGAACGAGCCTCAATGCTGACTTATCTGGTCTGTGTGGGGACACACATTGTGATGTGGAGTGAGGCATGAGGTATCAGTACCCACAATTCCTCTAGATGCATATAACAGAGGAAAGTGATGCTAAGTCTTGAACAAGGAGGGTAGGAGTGTGTTTTTGAAGCTGCCGTGGATTCCAGATGGCCACAAACCTCCACCTAGTAGGTACCTATTGTGGTGTGCCAATCACTATCCTTACAGCTTCTGTTGAGGAACACAAGTCATCGCTGAGAAAAAGCCAACTTTGAAGGGTTACTTTTGTTCTTGAAAGGTGGTTTTAGGAAAGACTAGATAAAGGAACCCAACAGGGCCATTATCTCTACTTGCCTTTATCCTGCTTGCAAGCTTCCAGCATTTAGAAGAGAGGCTGGCCATTAACAGGTGTCCCCAAACTTACGTGCTCCAAGATTATCAAGTCGATGGGAGAGAGGCTTTCTTTCTCCAGTGCAGTGAGTATGTGCCCACTTGTTTGTCCAGTTTTCAGTTCTAGATTTTGTTTCTATGCCGAACTCATGACCACCTCGTTTGTGTATCTTGACAAAAGCCCCTATAGTGTTGAAAGTACACTTTCCCCTAGAGACTCAAATAGACTCAGACTATTGTTGTGTAGAGGTTTTCTCTGAGATTAAAACTTTCTATTTTGGAGAGAAACTTCTTAAGACAACAAGTTCTAAGGGGGAAGTGACATGCTACAGGGAAGCTCGTCTAAGTTTAATATCAGAAGAAAACAACTCAAAATAGTTTCAGGAAGTCCCTGAAAATGATCAGATTCACTAGGACCCTCCCCCAAGAGTATATAAACAGTAAAGACTGTTGAGAGTCAGCAAAAAAGATTGGCAGACAGGCCCCAGAGATGCCTGAAAGAAGCAGGGGAAGGCAAGGCCAGAAGCTTGCAGGAAGCAGAGCCCAGACATACTGCCCAGAAGAAACCAAGACCAGCAGAGCTGCCCTGAAGAAGACAGGGCAACCTGAGCCACCTGGAAACGACACTTTCCAACCTGTTGAGTTGCTACAGGCTATGTCATACACTCTAGGCTTCCAGCTTTTGTGAACTGCCATCCACGTTGTGTGGGCTTTGGTGATGCAGCTGTCTTTGAATCATTTCTGTTCCTATAGGTAGCCCTCACTTATATTCTTGTATAACTCATTGGTTCACAAAGTTGGACTTCGGTAGTATCTGTTCTTTGGGAGAGTAGATGTGCGTGTGTTGCATCTCCCCAGGAAAAGTCTGCAATACTATCTAGCCCATGGTGGACACCTTATGGGAATTATCCAAGAGCAGCTGGACATAAATGACAGACATAGATGGCTAACGTATTTATCAAAGGCCAGTTAAGAACTCCTAAAAGAAGACAGAAGCGGACCATATGATTTTACAGTGTTAACAGTGTCTCCTCCTCCTCTTCCTCCATCTTCCTCCTCCTTCCTCCTCTTCTTCCTCCCTCCTCCTCCTCCTTCTTACTCCTTCTCCTCCTCCTCCTCCTTCTTCCTTGGTTTGTATTCAGAATAGTCAGTCACAGGAACCCAGAAAATGCCAGTTTGTCACAGACAGATCTGTTGGAGAGCATGGCTTGAGCAGGCATGCACCCAGAGCTGCCCCCTGTGGTGCTGAAACCATAGCCGTATCTCTGCAGATATCGGTAAGCCCAGGCCTCCCTAAAGCTTGGCAGGGCTGTCTTCAGGTGCTGGCCCCCATTGAGGAGAGGGTGAAACTCTTCTTACACTCTTATCAGTCCACAACATGGCTCTGATGGAGACCTCCCCTTCCTCAACAGTACACTGAAATGAACCATCAGAGGCTGGTGTTCCCTCGGGGTGGTGGTGCTCTTTCCTAGGGAAGCTATGGAATTTGTGATGGGTGGCAAGTCAGAGAAAGGAATACACTTATTTCCCTACTTTTTTCAAAAATGATGATGCAAAACATCACAATCCAGTGTGAATATAAAAAATACACAGAAAATCCCTGTAAAAATGCAATCCACCTTCAATGCATGACCTCATCCTAACTAGTGTTGTGTTAGTGTACATCCCTTCAGCTTAAACAAATGAGGCCATACTTAATAAGTTTTTATATTACTTTCTCCTAATTTCTGTATAAAGCATTTGAGCATGCCCACGAGGCTGCGTGCAGCACAAAGAAAGGAATCGTGCCTGTTTAATCATTGCTGATCCCCATGGCTGAGCACCTAAAAAATATAAATCATAGGTAATACTGATTAGGCAATTTGTTGGTATCAAAGAGTATCATTTAATTGCCTCCTTACCATAAGTAAGTACAACAGAGTAAGTACAATAGTCACTTCTGTGAGCCACATCTTATAGAAGAGGAAACTGAGGTCCAGAAAAATGACTTAGCCCTCCTTCAGACACCACAGTGCTGCATCTTCACACAAGCATGTCTGTTTCAGACAATTTCCCCACTCAACATGCTTGCTTGCTGCATTTCAGTTTTCGTCAAAGACTGAGGGGAGAACTCTGCTCCTACCCTGGGCAGGTCTTAGGAGACCATCCTGGATTGATCACAGCCACAGGAGTCCTTTACCAGCACGGGTCCAGAATAGCCTTGGGTCTGCTTTCATTCTGGCCATGTTAGCCTTGTCAAACCTTTATCAACCAGCTTCCAGGGCATCTGCTTGCATCACAGACAGCAGGCTTTCTTCAAGATCACTTCCTGTCCTGCAGAATTATACAAGACCATCCTCTAATCAACATTGCCACTGTCTTCAGAAGGGCTGGACCTGCTCACAAAAGATTGTCACAGCTGGGTTTGTTAACTCTTGACATTTCTTCAAAGCAGGAACGGGGCAGGGGGTGGGGGGAGGATGAAGGCTATGGAATGGTCAACCCGAGTATTCAGCCTCTCCTCCCAACCAGCTGTATGCAATTCTGCCCTAATTGCATGTGGCCTTGAGGTCTCTAGAAGGACTGCAGCCATTCTCAACCTGTGGCTCTTGACCCCCACGGGAGTTACATAACAGATCTCCTGCATATACGATATTTACATTATGATTCATTTAGTAGCAAAATTACAGTTATGAAGTAACAACGAAAGTAATTTTATGGTTTGGGGTTACCATAACATGAGGAACTGTATTAAAGGGGCACAGCATTAAGAAGGTTGAGAACCACTGGGCTAGAATGTGGAGGTGAGTTAGGACTAGATGAAGGATCTCAGTTACAAAGCCATGAGACAGGCATCATTCCTGCTGGGTTCAGACCTTCTACTGTGGCTGCTTTAAGGTTCCCTGTGCTCCCGCCTGTGACTTCTCACAGAGTGAACTTTTCTCACCCACTGCTCTGTAAGTAAGGCTAACAGAGTGAACTTTGGTGGAACCACATCTTGGTTTGCTTTGGGACCTAAGAAGGAAGGGTGGATATCGTTTACATCTCCCTCAGGGAAAGAACTTGATCAGCAATAAGCCAATTGGCTCAATGCTTTTGATGACTCCCCACCCCTATTTGGCCTTTCTTTCCTGTCACAGAGCCTGTGTCCAGATGCCTATAAGTGACTCTTTCTTTGTTTTTTGTGTTTTTGCTTTTCCATATAAACAAAGTCTAGTTTTACCCTCCCCCAAAATTACAGTAGCCACATTACCAGTGCTTTTATGTTGGTTCCCTAAGTTCCAATTCCCAAAGCATGACAGAGAAAGAGCCATGTAATCCCAACACAGTCTAAGATGTCACATTATAATAAAGAAGTATCTGGCTTAAGGGACCCAAGTCCTTTACATCGTGTAATAAACTGGCCTGCCTTTTGATTCAGAGGGCTAATATGAGTCTCTGTGAGGATTCCCTGGCACCAGAAGCTGCTCTGCTCCCAAGACCCCCTGAGAACTAAAGTCCCCTAAGAACTGCCTCTGACTGCTGTTGAGTACTTGTCCCTCCAGCTTTGGGGCATGCCAGGAACTGGCTTCAGAACTCCCAGTGTGATAAGACTCCATCATTGCCTAGGGTGGTAAGACTCCATCGTTGCAGGGTAGAAAGACTCCATCATTGCCCAGGGTGGTGACTGGTTTGCTGACACTGTTTCTGCCCCTTCCTGGCTGGAGCACTCTGCTCTGGGGCCACCTCCATTTGAACCTGGATCCTAGGCTTTAGTCCTCTTCTCTTTCACTCCAATACACAGCACCGATCGTGGAACAAATTGGCTCCCCCATAACCACAGGCAAACTCTCCTGTGCACTCAAAGCCTAGGTCAGGATAGGTCAGGATAGGATGTCATCCCTCATGAGGCTGAATCTGCTACTCAGCACTATGGTACCCAGAGTCAGCAGTTCCATGGCTTTGAGTGGCAAGGATACTTGGGAATGACTGGATGGATGGATGGAGGATGGATGGATGGATGGATGGGAAGCCAAAGCTGAGAGTGCTCATCAACACTGGGCACAAACTACGTGAAGTTAGTAGAGAGGAGAGAATGCAGGAACATGGAGATGCCAAGCCTGAGCCAAGAAAGTTGTTTTGCTATGGAATATATTATTTTTGCAGGTTGCTATAGTTACCGCTGTGAAATTAAAAATTAAAACCTTGTGAAAGAGAGAGGGTTGACTGAGATGAGGCAGTTCCTTGACAGGCTGAGTTATTTATCTTTTCCCCATGTAACATCTGGTTACGTGCTTGCAAATTTATTTTTAATTCAGAGCTCTAAAAAAGATTTTGCATTGATATGCCATGCAAACATGAATCACTTGGGAGAGAAAGATTAGCGGTTAGTATCCAGTGGCAACTGGTGACCTCTGATGTGTCCCCTGGCCTTTGCCTCTGCTTCTCAGGCAACCTCTAGGCATCAGTGTAGGACTAGCAAGCATCTGGAACCCCTGCCAATCAAGCAGCAGCCGTAACCATGGTTCCCAGATACAGAGCCTTGCTGGAGGCTGCTCTCAGTTCTAGTCACTCCGACCAGGAGGATGAGTGTGAGTCTTGGAAAGAGGCTTTGAAATCCTGCCTCTCTAGCCTGTTCCCTAACCTGTGAAACCATCAGTATGACCCAGGATCTTTGGGAGCCTTTGAGTCAGATTCCCAGAGAGACAATACTTATTACTTAGTAGAGGCGACACTTACTGGAGCTGGAAGACGTAGGATCTGGATCCAGCCCAGACTCTGAAAGCTGTATGTGCTTGTGGAAGTGATCCTTCTTCTGATCTCCATTTCCTAACTTCTTCAGGGGGCAGTTGGAGTCGGCAGTATTCCCTAAGCTCACCCAGAAGTCCCAAGAGTCTCCAGGCATCCTTGTTTCCTTCCTGTCACCCAAAGTGTAAGGTTGGGATCCCAGGGTGGGCATCTGAGAGTCCCCTCACCTTTCTCCTACCTCAGGCCTCTGTCCTGTGTGTTTCCCGTGCACAGAGATCTCTTCACTCGTGCTCCAGGGTCTTCCTCCTCTGCCTCACGCAGGGCTTTCCCGTAGCCCACCGACCTCTGCTTTCCTCTTCGGGCACACAGCCTGACTGGGCTATCCAGCTCCTGATGCACAGTTTTGGGTTCTGTGCTCTCCTACCATCACTAGGCAGCTGCCAGGTGGTCCTCTTTTTGGTAGATTAAAGCCCCTCCCCCATGCATAGTTTTGTTTGTAATTGTTGCTGCTAATCTAAACTTTAGTACAAGTTTACATGTGTGTACAGGAAAAGGTGTACATATATAGGGTTTGAAACTTTCAGGCATCCGCTGGGGGACAAGGAGTGACTTCTGTAGTGTATTTTCTGCCTGCCTTCCTGTTGTCTTATGTCGGCATCAGAGATTACCTGTCTTGGTCACAACTTTGTCCTCTATGTCCAGAGCAGGGTCTGCAGTCTACACAGCACAGAACTTAATGTTTTTTCAGTAAATGAATAAGTGGAGTGAGAGAATGAAGAAAATATTTCTCATTCCTCACTGTATGCTAGACCAGGTGGGGATAAGCTGGGATGGGCTGGAAATGAGGGGAAAGGGATGTGAGCCCTCAAAAAAGCCTCATGGGCTGGGAAGATGAATGCCAAAGGCAATTGTAAAGGAACAGCTCAGGCATGTGCCTGCATGGGAAAGTCTGTGGGGGGCTCTGCAGTGGTAGCACCAGTCCTGCTGGTTGTAAAGGCTAAACAAGACTACTAACAACCACTCTGTACTGAGCACTCGTTATTATCAGACAGGGTTTTAGATAAGGGAGCGGACTCTTTTAGCCCTGTGATATCACTATCATTATCTTCCCATTGGGTCCCCAGTGTCCAAGAGGGGCACAGGGCACATTTATAGATGAATGAGTCTCTGTGTTATTTTCACAGCATCAGATCTGATGGAATGGTGTTTTGTCTAAGAACAAATAAGGAGAGGAGTCTGACACTGTCCATGGTGGCAAAGGAGACCTCGTCCCTGTGTGTTGACTTGTGTGAGTCACCTTGGGCCCTGAAGAAATGACTCCCCATCCCCACCACCCCATCCACCATCACAAATGGCCTGACAGCACTGGGCTGAATCTGAACAATGCTTGTCTAGGTGGACTGGCAACCAGGAAGGGCTTTCCTGTCAACAAACAACAGAGCCTGGCCCTCGTATCTTTGAAGCATCTTAGCTGTTGTCATCCCCCACTGTGACTGGGATGAAGTGGGAGGATCAGGGAACATTTTGTGGGCAGACACATCCAAACTTCTTGACAGGTCTGGACTCATCACTCAGGTTCCCCACATGAGTGTGCTCCAAACATTGTGGCTCAAACCCTGGGCTTGTGCATTCATTGAAGGATGAATAATTAACTAGCTACCAGTGCCAACAGCTTGGTGCAGAGGGTGCTGTGTAGCTGACAACACGGTGTCCCAGCTTGACTCTGGTTTTGGGGAGAGGCTGTTGCTTCTGGCAGCTAATTTTGTAGCACTGAGAGCAATGGGTCTCTTAATTGAGGGACCGTTAAGGCTGTCGCAGTGAACAGAGACAGGATTGGGGAGGTAGTGCTTACAGATGAACCAGGCACAGATAGAGTTGCCTTCTGGACAAGGGGTGACCTTAAGAGTCTCTTCTCAGCTCCTTCCCATTCTTCATCTTTTCTGTGCAGTGCAACTTGGGGTCCACTTGGAGGAGGAGATTTGGACCAGTAATGCAAACTCTAACATGCCTTGGAAAGGCAAGGGCCCTGTCAAGAGGATCTCTTGGCCCCTTCCTCATTGTCTGCTTTGCTCTAAGCTAGGAGCTCTGGCAAGAGGGACTCCACTGTGCTGAGATCTGCGTGGCTTTGGTAATTGACCTGACTAGAGTGGGGAGGGGCATGAAGAAAGGGACAAACACGTGACACAGCTACAGAAAAGCTGGATCAGGTGGGCTCTGTGCTCTTCCCCAGAGATGCACAAGCAGCAGCCCAGAAGCTTAGGGCATTTATTTATACAGCTGAACAAGGAAGTGGTCTATTGTATATAGTGGAATGAAAGGCAGATTTAGTTAATCTTGGTAGGAGGGCTCTATAGAGGACCAGTCTCAGGCTGCAAACACCCAGGAGGAGGGGGCTGCTGTTGACATTTCATACACACTGACAGCATCTGCACACAGACCAGGGGGAGGCTTTGTCATTTCCCTGAGCCTGACCTCAAGGGTCTGAGGCGTTGTGGTCCTTGACATGGCTGTGTGCCTGTCAGCAATATACATTTTCTTAGCACTTCACCTGCTCCCCACACTTCTGGCTTTACTCACCTGACAACACTGGGAATTTCACATCCTGTCCCTCAGGACCTGTCTAGGCAGCACAGGAAGGGTGGCACGATGGGAACCATAGGCTAAGCCAGATGTTTGCTCAAAGTCTGTAGCACGGATTCTCAGGACCTGGGACGTTTCACAACAGGTGGGTTTAGGGCAAGACCCATACTTCATTCTTCTAGATCCTTGAATTTGTTCATGTAGACCATTCTGGTAGCTGTCCATTATGAGGCCGAAGAACAATGGTATAGGCGCCTTTCTGAGCTTGGTCCAAGCATAGGCCTGAAGCTGCTACATTTGGAGAGGAGAGGAGATCACACACATATATAGCAATATGATTGTGTGTCTGGCCCCACTCTTGTGAAACTTAGGAATGAATGCAATGTAGCTTTAAGTAAGAGCAACTATTAATATTACTGTATTACTATCAGGCTATAATCTATTTGCTCTATAAGGCAAGGAAATCTAAGTCTCTGGGAACTGAAGATCTGTTTGCCTTTTTTTCTACTTTTAGGTGGTACCTTGTTTCCTCATTCTTGATGCTTTGTGGTTATAAAATGGCTTTGGGGTCTCAGGAAATGCACCCCTTTGCCTGAGAAAGAGGGGAAGCAATAACCATCACTGAAAGAGCTCTGCAATGCACAGTATCACCTGAATACACAAATCTTACTGGTTTGATTGGTGTCATAGACCACTCCTAGTCAAAGGGGAAAATGAATGCTTGCCTTCTCTGTAGCCAATATAAGAGGAGCTGTTAGTTATGCGAAGGCAGCTGTGCACACATGGTAGCTCCCTGACTTAGAAATCCCCTTTGTCTATGCACACTGATAATTTGCACTTCTGTAAAGAAAGCCCGCTTATTGCTAATAACATATGTACATGACATGGGTAGTGTAGCTAGGCTACAGGATCTAGTCCCACTCTGCCAAGTGCCAGCTGTGTGTCTCAGACAGCCCCCCCCCCTGCCTGCTCTTGATCCACTGTAAAATGGAGCTTCTTGTTCCCCAAGGGATTTACCAGGATGAAAACAAAAACAGTCCTAGAAAAAAATGCTGAATCATGTCTGACCTTTCTTGAGCATCAAAGAAAAGTCAACACACTCACCATTGTTATCACCGTGATGACTAAAAAGGAAGATCACTATTGTTGTTATTGTGACTGCAGTCATCATTGTGAGGTTTTTCTGTGGGTAGAAACAAGGCCCCATGGACCTGTTGGTGACTTTAGACAAGCCTCATTAGCAGCCAGTTACTCCTTTGCTGGGTAAGACTCTGGTCCCACCAGTGTCCTGAAAGGTCCAGATGTGCTTACTGCCCACATTGTGTTCTGAGCCCTGCTGTAGAGGGCAGCCAACCTGAGCAAGGAGGAAGGGAGGGTGTGGCAAACTTGGAGGCTCTCTTCCAATGACCAGTCTAGGCCTCTCCCTCATGGCTGAGGCCCCTCTGAGCTCAGACTCCTCCTTCTGGTATCTTGTTCCTGGCCCCTTCTCCTTATATTCATCCTCTTTGGACACTTTGCAGCCTGCTTCCTATGACTGGAGACCAGGCCTTGAGGAGGGGTCCCTCTGGGCCAAGGTCTACATAGTCTGTACTGGGAGGGACACCTGGGGTGTTTTCTGGAAGGGTGGCTAGGAGACCCTTCTGCCCTTTAGAAAGGGCTTGTCTCCTAACTTCTGTCGATCTCAGCAAGCTCTCATTCCATTCTATGCCTCAATTTCCCTATCTGTTCAACTGAAGAACTGAGCAGACTGACTTTTGATGACTAGGCACATTTCCAGGTCTCAAGACAGCATCCGAAATGCAGGTGTCCTCATATCAACCCTTGCTGCGGTGTCACAGGCAGGGAGCACAGTTGACAGGGCTCCACTAATTCCAGCCCTATGGCACCAGGCAGGGCAGCTGGCCTTCGACTATTTCTTACATAGCGTCAAGGGAAGTTTTCAACACAGTATTTTAACTCCAAAGTTAAAATGTGAAGTCTGACAGCAGTAACTAGTGGGTATAGATTTACCATGTGTCAGGCATTTTGCTAAAATGTTTCACACATATTAATTTATGATGTAATCTTCCAGCAATGTAGTGAGGAAAGTACTATTAATAGTTTAAAATTGAGTAACGAGCAATTGAGTAACTTACCCATGGCAGCTCAGCAGATTGGGGAACCTGAGAACTGTTTGCTTGGCTCAGAACTACTGCCATTTGTTTGTTTGGAGGGGGGAGGGGAGTTCGTTCATATTTCCTGATGCTGGAATTTCTCTTGCAACATCCTCTTCGAATTCTTCACTTGGCTTCAGCTTGTACACCTGCAGGGACGGAGAGCTCACTACCTCCCTGGGGATCTTGCTCTGGCTGCATCAGTATGAAAACACTCCCTCAAGTTTGTGGAGTGCTTAATAAGTCTTCAAGACTCAGAGTGGTTTCCTGGGAAACAGAGCAGCCTGTTCAACCCTCAGGGACATGGTGTGGTCTGGATTACAAGTGAAGAAATTTAGAGGGAGCCAAAAATCTCACGTTTTGTTGCCACGGGAGAGAGGACATGTTGCGGACCCACAAGCAGAGGCTTACTGTGTGAGCTGCTCCCCCTTGAGTTTAGTCGGTTTTGTGCTGCCGTCCAGAGTACTACAGACTGGGGCATTCATGAACAGGGAAGTTGGGAGCCTTTGTGGCAGCAGCTGTAGTCTCAGCAATCAGAGTGGAGGCAGGAGGATGGTGAGTTTGGGGCTAGTCTAAGAAACTGTAGATGGGTGTTATCTCCAGCACTGGCAGAAAGAAAGTTGGCTGGCTCGGTTATGGGTCCAGAGCAGCAGTTTTCAACCTGTGGGTCAAGACCCCTTTGGGGATTGCATATCTGATATTTACATTACCATTACAATTCTTAACAGTAGTAAAATTACAGTTATGAAGTAGCAACAAAAATAATTTTATGGTTGAGGGTCACCACAGCATAAGGAACTGTACTAGAGGGTAACAGCATAGGAAGACTGAAAACCACAGTCTAGAGGGCTATGAAGGCCAAGATCAGGGACCAGGCCTTTTGCTGTCAAGGCAGAAGGAAGAAGGGCAAAGGAGAGCATGTCCACGTGCACACAGATGATAGACAGACAGACAGACAGACAGACAGACTGATGGGAGAACAGATAGAATTGATGTTTTAAGGCCTGCCATCTCATTAGTCCGTGAAGAATGGTGGCACTCTCATGATGTAAGCATTTGGCCCTGACTCCTGATACTATGACAGGAATTACAAATTATACTTCTCAGGAGACAGTTCCAAGTCACGGGACTGAACACCAGCCACACTTGTGACATGGCCCTCACAAGACCAGCTTTTTCCAGGGCTGTCATGAGTGTGGGAGAGCATGATGCACCAGAGATGCCAGGCAGAGCTAGATACTAATGTTTCCTGGAATTGTGGCACTATCACCTGTTAAATTCCATAATCGTAGGCTAGTATCTCTGACTTGGTCAATGGCTTGATCATACAGCAAATGAGGCTAAGATGTTGATTCTTGACTCTAAACTGTCCTGTTTGGCATATAGAAAAACAAAGTCCCAGGGAAGAGGAGGAATTTAGGCATTTCAGTTAGTTGGTGGCCTAAAAACACAAAGTGAAATGCAATTAAGCAGTCCTATGGGCCAACTTAGGAAATGTGAGGTCCAAAATTGAAAACAGGCCCCTTGGAGGACGTTGGCTCCTCGGCACCAAGCTTCCTAGAGATCACTGTTGTGGGGCCACCGAGTGTCCATCTTAATGTCTGGTTATATGTCCCACGAGGAGTGTCCATGGGTGGCTCTGGGACACAGAACATGAGAGAATGCCTTTTGTGTTTGAGGACATGAGTGCAAGAATGTGACTGTGGCTGAGTGGCTCCATGGAGAAGGCAAGGACTCAGGAAGCCCAGCTGCACCGCGTATGTGACAATTGTGAGCCTCTGTCTCTTCTTATGGAAGATAGAGATAAGACTGCCGAGAGATTTAAAGGTGACATGCAAACTGAGAACCATATTTAAAAATCAGGCGGTTTGACATCAAACCCAGATTCCTGCTTTCTCTCAAAAAGAAAAGAAAGAGAACACTTTAGTCCCTTTGCTTTCCTGAGAAGTGAAGCTGGGCATCTCTGGCCCCTGGAGTTGCAGCCTGCCCTGCTGATCTCTTGGCAGCCACCACTGGGAGGACTCAATATAGAGACCTGCTGGTCCAGCCCTTTGCTCCAAACTCCCCTCTCCTGAAGGCAGCCATGCCAGCTGAGGAAGGAAGGTTCTAGAAGAAGCACCTCTCATTCCCTGGAGGTGTTTGCTCAGGGCCACCCCAGGATGAATATTTCCTTTTATAATGTTGCTAATCACTTTCCCCTGCAGGCAGCAGGCAGCCTCTCCACTGCTCCTGCAGCTGTGGTGCCCTGTGGGCTCTTCATCAATGTTACATGGTAATTAATAATAGATTCTCCTGCTCCAACTCCTGCTCCCTCTGACAGGCTGCATCTTCCCTACCAGATGAGACCGAAATCAAAGGCCAGAAATTGCAACTGAAAACATTTCCTTCAACAACTCGAGGGAAGACATCGGGACAAGCTTAAACTCCTGGTGGTCCCAGCACTGGCTGACCTTCTTGTTTTACCCTATGTCACCGTCAGGGACCAAAGACTTTCACCCATGTGTTCAGGGGATTTATATTCTAGTGTGTCTTGGTGTGAAGAAGTAGATGGTGGTGGAAGTCAAGACTCACTCCTCTGACAAGTGCCCAAGTCTGTGACTATACAAGTGGTGCTGATGCTGGGAGTCCAGGCGGCACTCTCTGAGAACCACTGCTTTATTTACTATGAACATACACGGTTAGTAGGTACTTGGCCCTGGGAACATGACGTGAGTAAGGCAAAGTGGTACCCACTCACTTGGATAGAATCTACCCAGGGCATCGTGTGATGGGTTAGAAAGCAGGTTCTAGAATTAGACGTGCTGGATTCAAGGCCCAAGTCTGTGACTATACATGGAAGAGCCACCTATAGTTTTTAACTGTCTCAAGGGAATAATTATGTGTCATGTCTCAGTTGACCAGAGGAACAATTGAGAAAAATGGATGTAGACATGTGTGCCCAGAAGTGTTAATAACATAAATGCCACTTAACATGCTGTTACTATTGTTACTGGATTGTCCACAGTGGTATAAGTAGGTATTGTGGTAGTGTGAGGGGTGACATTCATTTATCAGTTTATTCATAATTGTCTTGACCTCCAAGAACATCCCGGGTGTATCAGCCACAAATCTCTCTTCTCATAGTAGGTACAGGATGGGTGGGTCGGTTGAAGGGGGAACTTTCTTAGCGAAAGGCACATGGATTTACAAGACTCCAGAGAAGTGTGATGTGTGACAAAGAGGAACTGAACAGACCAGGAAATAGATGCTTTGTTAGGGATCAGAGTCATCTGAGGTCCCTATGACAAGATATCCACTGGGGGAAGAGCCCACTAGTCCTTAGGAAAGCTAGTTGTATCTATGGGAAGGGTGTCCTAGGGATGGTAGGCCCAGGTCTGTGCAGTATACCCCAGCTGGGCATCTCATGTTGCTCATCCCCTAAAGGCCTTCAGGGAGTCCAGACCTTGGGCTTTAGAAGCTCTAACCCACCAGAAGCATATATTCTTATACTCCAGAGCTGCTCAACCTGGCTACTACATATGAGCCGCTTTAGCTGCACTGGTCATTTTCTTGTCTGACATGCCCGAAAGATGATAATCTCACCTTTAAGTCCAGTAGAGTGAGAGTCAGAAACACACCAGGCTGTAAATGCTTTGCAAGCTGGACACTTAATAGGTGCTCTGAGAATAGCCTTCTGAGGCTTGGCTCTGGGTGAGCCTCAGATCAGAATTCTCATTGTTCCAGGGTGTGTGTTCTATTTGCATAAATTTACATAAAATCTCAAATGTCGCATCCTTTTCTGCCATTAATTCCTGTAAGCACAGGCTATCATTTAAAAATTGGTCTCCCTCTCCTCCACCACTCCTTTTCCTCTTTTAAGTAATTTCAAGAATTAATCAAATATTCTGGAGTGGAAGCTGTTTTGGTTTGGGCCTCTTTTGCAGGGGGTGCTGTCCTCCATGAAGCCCTTGATTCCCTGCTTTCCTAGAAGGAGACAGCAGCTATGATCTCAGATGTGGAATGGCCTGGAATCTTCAAAGGAAAAGCCAATTTTATTCTCTCTGCTCACAACAGTAGAGCATAGAGACAAGGAGACAGCATAGAACAGAGGGAAAAATTTGCAACAAAGACCTTAGAAGAACCTAACCAAACAGTGCTCCTAACACAACAGTTCACTTCTTTACTTGTTTATTTCTCTGTAATATTTTCATAGAGTCGGCACTCTAATACACCTATAGCAGCCGCCACCCCATACATGCAAGTGTATATATGTATGGCTTTTCTCTATGCTATTACAAACTTGCTGACACCATTTTCCAAAATTATGTAGCATTCCTTAGTGTAGGAAGTTCTTAATGTGCCCCTGTCATAGGGTATTTAGATGGTATTGGGTTTTGTTGATGTATTTGTGGCTGTGATGTCTGCATTCCTGACTTTCTCTCATTGAATTTTGCCTACAGGATGGGAGAAGGCAAGATGAAGGCTCTGAAAAGACTTTGTGGGAGTTGTTTCTGGATTTCAGAATGTGCTTTTGGGTTGCATCACCATAGGCATCAATAAGCCACAGAGCACTTTTGATACCAGAAGATGAGACACGCTCCTGTAGCATACACCTCAGGTTTGGGGCCCTCAACTGTCCACAGACAGGATTTTTGCTCTTCTGCTGGATGCTTGAATGATATGCTTCTGTGAAAACATCCTTGGTGCACAACACGCAACTGGGTTCAAGAAAGCTTGAGCTGTCTCTAGTCTTTGTCAAAACAACAAAAAGACTTTGTCAGCAAGAAATACCTTTAACTTAAACAAGTATGAATTGCTTGTCTTTCTTCCTTCCTTCCTTCCTTCCTCCTCCTCATCCTCCTTCTCCTCTTCTAGTAAGAGCATTATAAGAGCTAGTTATCCAGGGAATATGCCACTGTCCAAAGATGCTGTTCTTGGGTTACATCTTCCTTTCCTGCTGTCCCTGAGAAGGGGGTATTTGTTTTCATACTTGCTGCCTCATAGCCCCCATCATGATTGCCACACCTCTGTGTATCAGGTTCTCATCCAGGGTATGAAGTAAAAGGAAAATCAAGGGAGCAAATGGCCTGGTCATCAAACCTGTTTTCAGTGTCAGGAAAACAAAACCTTTCCTTAAAGCCTATGCAGATTTTTTTTACTTGCATTCTCATAAGCCAGAAACAAGTTGTATGACCATTACTAAACAAGTTGTTAGTGAATAGAAGCAGTGTTAATCAAGACTCACACCCAGGGCTCGATGATGGCAGCCTTTGTGGTGGGAGAATAGAACAAATAAGAGAATAAAACAGAGAGGACTTAGCAGGGAAGAGTGGGATGGAGTTGATGAGAAGGAACTCATTAGGAAGAAGTCATCGGCACAGGCTTTGTGGAAGATGGGATCATATTGGCCGGAAGGAGGCTTTTGTTTGCTGATACCCATTCCTCTGGCCCAAAGAGTAACTAACCAGGACTAGAGAATTCATAGTGTTCCACAATGAGAAGAAAAATGTGCAGTGTGAATCTATGATGCCTGGAACTGATGCAGCCATGTTGCCCCCATGAGGAATCCAGGTTGGAGATGTAGACAGAGGGCCCATGTATAGATGAAGGGAAAGAATTGGAGCCAATACCTTGATTTAAATATAACCATGACACACCTGGCTTTTAGACTTTTTTCAGTCACAAATGTTAGCTAGCATAGTCTAAGAGTTGTGCAAATCAGCTTGTCGTGTAACCAGAAGAATAGTAACCAACAGAGATGAAATAGGAAGTCAGCAAACAGGGTTGCATAAGGATGATGCAGTTTTGAAGTACTGTGTTGGGCCAAATTTGGTCAACACTCTTTAGCTTGACTTGATCTGACATGCTGATGTGCAATATGATACACTGATGCTTCTAGCAGAGATATCCGCAAAGTATTCCAGAACCCTCTCATCATGGGACAGACTGTCAGCCAGTCTGATCCTTGCCCTGTGAGCTTCAGGCCTGCAACAAGGTCAGACCTAGCATTCCCATGAACAGAGAGCGTAGGAGACACAGGAAGGTGGGCAATGTTTTGGTTCCTCAAATGCTTCCCCAGTGGCTTCTGAGCTTCCTCCTGTGGGAGGCCCTGTGGCAGCAGGCAAGGGTGGCAGCTGATCAGAAGTAGACAAGAAAGAAATCCCAGCAAGCTTCAGAAAGCCTGGGCAGCCTTGGCATGAAGAGGTGAGAGGAAGTGGTGGCCTGAGAGAGAGACATGCCTGACACTTAGCCCTGCCCTCCTGGAGCACCAGTGTGCGAAGACTCACACATAGTGCAAGTCTGCATGTAACAGACAGGCAACACGGATTGGGGGCGGGGAAACAACTAACAAACCATCACATTTTAACCTATCTGTTTGACTCTTTCATATTATTTTAATTCCACCTGTGTGTGCATGACCTGGGAAGAATGCACTGGCCTTGAAGTTGACAGATGAGTGGGACCTGGCCACCAAGTAATGTGAGGACTCTCTATGGAAGGACTAGGTGTGTGCACCTCTGTGTGTGTGTGTGCTTGGGCACAGCTTCTTCTATCTAGTAGGGGCTGAGTGTGGAGGCTGAAGCGGGGAAGGCCATGAAGAGTAGGGACAGACCAGACAGGACCTAGAGGTCATTATCAGGGTTCAAGATCCTGTGCCGAGGCATGGGAACTGCAGCAGAGTTTAAACCATGAATGATGTCTTTGTGTTGCTCACCAAGTCTTCTCTTCTGCTTCTGGGAGGGTAGGTGGGAGGGCAGAGAGGAGGCCAGGGTGCTCAGGGCTGTGGAGAAGGACAAGGAAGCAGGTGTGTGTAGGTGTCTGGAGAGCCTGGCCCCTGTGCTCTCTATAGGGTCACAGGGCTGTGTGTTGCTACAAGGACTAGTTTCTCTTAATGAGTTTTCAGTCACCTTTGCTGATTTCAAGTGGGTCAAAAAGAACAGCTCAAATCCTGCCATTAGGGAGCTGGGATGACTCAGCTATGTGGAGGCTCAAAGCCTTCAGGGTCAGGCTCTGGGAGACAGCCCTTGACAGTAGTCCTCAAACAAGACCAACAAAATGTCTCTGGAACGTTGGGAGGGGGTACTCAACGAAGAGCCTTGGCGTCCTTGTTAGCCTTTATAGCAACACTGTTGGTTACATTTTGTTAACTGATACATGCTAGGATCTTCTGGAAAGAGGGAAACTCAATAGAGAAAAATGCCTCCATCATATTGGCCTATAGGTTAGCCTGTAGGGGGATTCTATTGATTAGTGATTGATGTAGGAGAGGCCAGCCCACTGTGGGCAGTGCCGCCCCTCGGCAGGTGGTCCTGGCTTGTATAAAAAGCTGGCTGAGCAAGCCATGGGAGTGAGGCAGTAAGCAACACTCCTCTATGGCCTCTCTTCTGTTCCTTCAGTGATGTCTGTGATGTAGATACGTAAGCCAAATAAACCCTTTCCTCCCCAAGCTGCTTTTGGTCATGGTGTTTCATCACAGCAGTATAAACCAAGCTAGAACATTAATAACAACAAGGGCCCCCCACTATGTTATCTTTTTTCCTTCAGAGTGCACCCCAAATCTAAACCCTGATGTTTCATCCACCACTTCCACCTCTAGCCCAGGTACCCTAAGTTCTAATGCCCCCCTACTTTCCTACAAGCTGTTCTTGAAGAATCCTATTAGTGCAGACCTCAGATCACAGTAGGAAGCTGGTACGCTCTTGTGGCATTCAGGGGTGAAGCGGAGCCCTACATATTATCTGCTCCAACTGGGCACCCAGCCCCTGCTTCTCTGATCCTGCCACTGGACTTCCCATCCTTCCCCGCCGCCCTGCTCTTCTGTATTTTCCATTGATTGACCGTGGAAACCCTACCCAAGACAGTCCCACGGTTCCCTTCACGGTTGGTAGCAGCAGGGAAGCAAATGCAATTCCTGTGCTGCAGCAGTCTGTGGAGTTCCCTTACCCCTTACAGAGCTCCACTCGAATCAAGCCAAAACCTATGACACCCACAGAAAGGAATTCCACAAGTCAGTATGAAACAGAGCTGTGGTTTATTAAAAGAGATTTAAAAATATGTCTTCAAGTTTATAATACAATTACATCATTTCCCCCTTCCCTTTCCTCCTTCCAAACCCTTCCTAAAATCCCATCTTGTTCTTTCAAATCATGGCCTCTTTCTAAAAGAGATTTTTAAACATGGATTTAATGCAGGGAGATCAGAAAAAGAGGGGCCCAGGGGAGGAATAAGACATCCCCAAGCATGGATATGGGCTTTTCAAGGTACAGTCACACTGCATTGCCCTTAAAGAAATCCATGTACTATTTATTTTTATTTATTTATTTTCCGATGGTACATGCACATATACAGTGTTCTGTGATTATATTTTTTCCTTATTGCTCCCTATGACCCCTATCTTTTCACTCTGAGCTCCTTCTTCCTCCCAGCTAGACCCTCAATGGTTGCACCACCAAAGAAAGCGACATCTCCTGTAGCAATTGCAGACACTCAGCAGTTCCTTAGGAAGGAGTGGGGGCCTGCTCCAAGCTAAGAAGGGCACACATATCTGCTTACGAACACAAATACTTAGAAGGAAGTATGGCAACGTGTCCATTTAGGGAAGCAATGATGGCATGTTCCACTTTGGGCTCATGACTCACCCCGTCTGAGGCTTTTAACCAGGTTTATAGTCCTGAATGTATGTTCCCTCCTGTGGAAGGGGCCTCCTATACAGGCTGGTTACCCTCAGCAGACTCGAGCCACTATTCTGCCAGTTAGAAGTAGGTATTGCCGAAAGCGTGTTCTAGAGTGCATGCGACCGTTGATGATCCCTCTCCCCCAACAGCCTGCTTAACAGTTTTTAGCACTATGCAGCCAGCAGAGAGGACATTTCCAGTTCAATTCCAATTTGGTTTCCCTACATCCTGTAACCAAAGTATGTGGTGTCTTCAGTAGTAGGACCTTAACATCTAGTCTTGGTGGGATACCAAAAGTGATGACAATAGCCATTATTCTTTTGGGAAGTTGTCTATCTTTATAATAGTCATATGTATATGTATATACATATGTTTATATATTTTATATATGTAATTTTGGTGAGTTATAAAGTTATCTTCAAAGAGTTGTGAGACTTAGCTTTTAATGACTGGGGCACTTCTCCAGCCCATGCTAAGAAATTTAAATGAAATTACAATGGTACATGATATTAAACCAGTTGGGACTCCAGGCAAAACTCTAGATCACAGGGATGTAGAGAGTTAGGGCATCTTTACTATAAACAAATAATCAGGGTATTGTTTTTGAGCTTCCCAGAATGTACACAGAGGAGCAGGACTCTACTCGAGATCGTAAGTGCTGAGACCTTACCTCTGGATTGATACTGTTTTACCACTCTGACTTGAAGATATCTGTACAGGAGGAAATTCTCCCCGTGTCAGTAACTCCACAGCTACTGTCAACAGCACTGGAGTTCTGGGCTCTCAGCTGTGAGAGGCCTCACAGAGTTGCTGGACTGACAGTCTCCTCTTTCTGTCCATGTCCCCCCCGACTTTCCCTTTCTTTCCATACACAGCCTGGTTTAGGCAGCTGTTCACATGTCACCTTACTCAGACCTTGCCCAAGCACCTTATTTCAAAACACATCCTCAGCTCTCTTTCTCATGTGCCCCTCCGTGACTTTCTCCACTGGCTATGCCACCACCTAACAGAACATCTTATGTATCAGTTCAGCTCCCCCTCTTAGCCTGTGAGATCCCCAGGGCTGGACTGAGAGTAGCCCAGAGCAAATAGGCAGCTGCCCACTTCCCTGGAGACAGAGTTTCTATCCTGGTCACCGTTAAAGTCCTGGTGCTGAAAGAAGTTATCACAGGTGGGGATGTCATCATGGTTTCTCAGGGACGTAGGCACTGTAACACCAAGCTCTGTGCTCCTGGGCCTGTGCTTCATTCAACTTTTGTAACATTCAGGGAGATGCTGCTGCAGCGGGGGATTTCTGATTCCGAGGTTTTCTGTGAAACCGTCATCAAGTTGCAGTTTTCTATGTCCAATCCAATTATAATCGAATCTATAGAATTCTTCCTCTCTGGCATTGTGTCTCATGTGCACAAGGGTAATGGGCCAGCCAGTTTTTCCTCTTCTGAAACTTCCCATCTGTTTGTGTATGCTGCCCATCTTTTCTATTAGGTCCTTTAACCACTTTGTAATGATCTGCATTGTATGTAGATGTATACTATGTGCATAAATACGCAATGTAATGTAAACCAGTAGTTTAAATTTCTGGCTTCCTAATGGATGGCTATTTATTGAGTATCATGAGTCAAGCACTGAAACAATAATTTTAATCTTTAACCAGAGATTTAGGTGAGAAAATTGAGGCTCAGTAACTATAGGTTACTTGTCTGTCCAAAAGTGTCCCCGCCCTCTGGCAGACTAAGTGCAGAGCCTTTGTCATAATTGGCTCTCCCGGGCTGCGGGGCTGCTGCCAGTCATTTGCTGTCCTGAAGACCTTCACTCAGCTTAGCAATTTATCTATACCAAAGGATGCAGGTGGTTCATCCCCATGGCACCTCACTGTGGCTTAAATTCAAGCACCTCCATTGCCTTCCAGCCCCTGCCATCTGGCCCCATCTGCCGCTTCCTTCCTCTCCCCAGAGCCTTTCCAGCAGGGTGCCAAGCTGGTCCCAGCCTTTGCTAGGAGGCTACCACACCAGTGCCCATGGTTTCTATGTCCTTACTCTCCATATCCAACCTCCAATCTAATTGTATTGTCATTCACCGCACCTACTCATTTGACACACACATGACACAGTTGAGCACTGGTCTTTTCCCCTCAGCAGTTGTAGGACTTACACAAGCAATTTGCTTCTCTGTGTCTTTGCTCGTTTGTAAAGCAGAGATAATGAGAGAGCCTATCTCAGGGAGTTCACACGAAGACTCGGCAAGCTAGACTAAGGGTCAATACAGAACAGGTGTCTCAAGAAAGGCAGCTGTGACACAGTGTGACACAGTCCCAACACTTCTCTGGGATACTCATGCCAGCTGAGATACAAGAGGAATGCGACAGGAATTCCTATGGTCAAAGCTAGAGATGGCCCAGCCCCCAAGCTGGCCCTCCGCTTGCTTGCCTGCCGATTTAGCCGCTTGGCTGCTCGGGTCCCAGTCCAGCTGGCCAAGCGGTGGCTTGAGTTCTCCTGCAATCCCTCCCCTTGTCTCCATGCCAGCCACATTTGATTTTTGTCACCAGAGACAGGCCGCAAATGATAGACATGAGGGTTTGCTTGATGAAAGATGCTTACTTCCAAAGGAATTGAATGCTCAGGAGGGCAGAGACCCAGACAAGCATGCGCACAGGTAGAAGTCCATGTAACAACGGCTCCCATGCTGTGCCCAGGATTTATTTTGCATATATTAATTGATATGATTCAAGCGCTCCATGTAACAACTCAATAAGGTGTTTTTTTCAATTATTATTCCCAATTTTATTGATATGGGAGATGAAACAAAGAAGGGGTTAAATTTGCCCAAGGTTAAATCAGTCCAGTGGCAGAACTATATTATAACAGAGGGAACCACACTATCCGAATAGAACTCTAGAAACTGTGGCCATAGTGTACATGTGCAATGACAAGTGCTTGGTTGTAGACATTTGAATGAAGATGGTGTCCCCTGATGGACATGAAGACCTTCAAGGTGGGTCAAGGACATCCACACTTACAGGTGGGGGTAGCTAAGAAACCAGTGTTTACCTCACGGGAGCCAGAGCATCATAGTTATATTTACTCCGTCACATCTTCACTCAGAGGTAGGCACACTTGTGAGCGTGTGTTCTGAGACTGCTCCCACGTGTCCACAATCACATGGATTCAGTGGCAGTTCCAGAAGGACAGGTGCTCTCCTGAGATTCCTACCACATCTGATGCTAACATGTGCTCAGCTCATGCTTTGCAGCTTCCTCTCTGGGAAAAGTCCATCCATTTGTAGTTAAGAGGCCTGCCTGGCTTGGGCAGATATGCCCATGATCCCGCTATGAGGCAGGTGACTTCCTGTTCTAAAGCTCGGGTCTGCCCAAAGAGTGTGCCTTCCCGATTCAGTAGTCTGCTGGCTGTCGTGTCAATGCATTAGAATGCTCCCACCCAAGGCTTTTGTCTCTGCTTTTGCCTGGATGGGTCCATATGATTTCTTTCCAAAATTCTTTCAGGTTTTTGCTTAACCATATCTCTCCAGCAAGACTTTCTTGGTCTCCTGGTGAATGACAACTCTACAGTTTTGCTCTTGCCCTGCCCTTCCCCAGAACTCTATTCCTATCTCCCTAGCATCCTTCCCCGAGACTCCAGTTTTCTGTTTGCTGTTACTCTCCTCTGCATGAAGGTATCTTCTGAGTCCAGAGCAGGTCTGGTGTGTGGCAGGAGAGATCTTCACTGTGACTAGGTGTCCTTGCAGGCCTGTTGGGAAGTTTGAGAGAATCATCATG